TAGTACATACATATATACATATATATAAAGAAACAAATAATTTAATGTATATATATTTATATGTGCGCGCGCATGTGTTATAGTGTGTGTGTGTCTATACATAGGATGGTCATATAGATGATTCCACAAGCAGCATAAGAAAACATTTCATTAATGAAATTATAATTAAATCTTAAAAACAATTAATGCTATTTTTTTTTTTTTTTTTTTTTAGATAATATGAAGAAAAAAAAAATCGGTTGCCTTCCTTTTCCGATTGTTATTGTTGCATGGCTTTCATTATAGATGGTCCCTTGAAACTTTCAGAAAAAGTACTAAATGCAAAGAGGGTTCACTTCTTCCTATTGCTGTGGCCTGTGATTCTATTATTTTTTCAATGATATGAATTAAAATGGAGCAATCGTCTACTAAGCGCTTTGTGCAAGAGGAAACTTAATCCCTCTGAGTGAGCCTTTAAGAAATAACAATTAATAACGCATTAAAGGGTTAGTTGTTAGGTTTTTATGGGCAATTGATGAAATTACTGTTTTTTGTATATTTCAAAGGCAAAGTGTACATGGAAGCTATTAATGTACACAAACACACACATACGCAAAGTATGCTTGTACATGTGTGTGCGTATTTCTATATATATATATACACACATGTATGTGTGTTTGTGTGTATATATATACTTTTTTGTGTCTATATATAAATGAGGTCCCTTTAGATGATGGAATATTTCAATAAAAAACGCATAGTTAGTAATAAAACTTTTACCATATGATTGTATCGTATACATTCATTGTAAATTAAGAGCTAGAAGTTTCAAGAAGTTTCATATGAAGTTATTGCCAAATATCCAGTGACGCGTCCAGATGGAAAGTGGGCGCACACCCAACTTGCGCCACATAAAAGCATCAGCAGTCGCCTCTTGCTAGACACAATATAAACACTGAGAGAACTGAGCAAGCTGTAGCTTTATCTACATTTCCAAGAGAAATATGGAGAACAAAAATACTAGCACTCGTATTGAACAGAAACCAGAATCTCCCAAAGAGGATTCACTTCTCCCCATCGTTGAGAAAGGACTTTTCCTCCATGATTCTTTCTTCGAGGATATTCAGAAGCACTTTGAGACAGCCATTGACCAAATCCTGGATACGTGGGGAGAAGCCAGGTCCGTGAGTGATCTGATGAGTAGCTACAGACGTGTAAAAGAGCGTAATTTGCAGCAAGAGAACCAAGTCATGGCTTTCAGCGAAGACGACCAGAATCACAAGGTTAGCTTAAGTATCTAAAAACAATGGGGATCTCAAAAACACCAATTCTAACAATCTTATGCATGAATAGAAGAAAAAATCGTAAAAAAAAAAATCAAATTGAAGGAAAGGATTTTTTTCACGCAAACAGATTATTTAGATATTCATTAAATGAAAAAGAAAAAGAAAAATAAGGGAAAACAAATACTCTTCATTGATTCTATATACAGGTTGTGCTAGATGTTCATGACTTCAAGAGTGGAGACGTTAAGGTTAGAGTGGAAGACAATCAGGTGGTGGTGGAAGGTCGAGTGGAAAAGGAAGAGGACGACTTCAAGTCTATGAAAAGCTTCTGTCGACGCTTCAACTTCCCAGGCAAAGTAGCTATGGAGGGCGTGACTTCTGCAATGTCTTTCGATGGCGTCTTGACTGTCACGGCTCCGAAGATTCCACAGGCAGCATAGAAAAAATATTTGATTAGCTAAAATTACGATATAAGTTAAAATATAATAAATGTTTAACTATTTATTGTTGATTTGAAGACTGTAGAAATTAAGTTCATTTTTTTATGTATTCTTTTTAATAAATCGTATTTGTTTACATTTGTGTATTACTTTGCTCATTTTCTTGAAAATAATCGAAAAAAAAAAACATTGGTTGCTAACTGTTGCATAAATTTCATAACTTATGAAACTCATGAAGAAAAATCGCGTTCCAAATTCAAAGAGGGTTCACTTCAATCTACTGTAACCTGTGCTTACATGTTTACTGGTTTAAACCAGGGATCGGCAACCTTTGGCTCCCGAGCCAGACCTGGCACACAGAGGGCTTCCTATGGCACACCACGTGATTCGAAGGAGCAAAGAAACAAAGTAAAACAAAATAAGAGGGAGAAAGGGAGAATGTGTATCGCATTTCGTTACTCTGATCAAGGTTTGAATTTTCGTATGCTTTTTTCTTCTATGATTCACTGAATTAAAACGAAAATATTTCGTAGCCGCGATATGGTTTAAGGGTACAATGAGATGTAGACGAGTATGATGCATACCCAAGCGCTTGGGAAGCCTCAGTCAAGCAAGGCTCCTGTTTCAGCGACTAGCCACCGTGAGTGACACTAGTTATTTTCGTCAGAGATACTGCGAAAAATTAAAGCTTGATATCCGATGATTTCAGTCACCATGGACAAATAATTTTGGATTTATTCATTAGAGTAGTATTGTGTGTGTGCACGCTGCTACATGACACACACTTGAAATGATATATATGTATATGTTATGTTATATGATTATATATATGTTATATTCAATATATATATATACATATCTATATTTTTAGTGATACATATGCATACATGCATATAAATATAGATTTATAATATAAATATACTGCATATTTCATATACATATGAATTCCTCGCGAACTTATCGAAAAAGCATAGATTGTGACACACAAATTATATATACATACACAAATATATATATATACACATATGCATATACATATATATACACACGTATTGATATACATACATATATACACACGCATGCATACATATTTCGTAAATTACCCAGGCAAAGTGTACATGGTAGCTGTTAATTTTGTAGGTAATACTTGAAACAAAAAATAAAAACATATTACATATATACACAAATAGTAAATATATTTATCTATATATGTATATGTACATATATATATATATATATATGTGTGCATGTATAATATAAGTGTTCGTGTATCTGCATATATGTCTGTATATATGTATGTATCTATACATATATGGATATATATATTTATATAGAAGTGTGCGTGAATATATATATACACATATGTATGTATGTGTATATATATTCTGTATATAAATGATGATGTAGTATTGGAATATGTATAAGGACGCTTAATTAGTATTGAAGCATTTACCGCATGGTTGCATCGTATGCATTCACCTTAATTACTTTGTTAAAATCTGGAAATTTCAAGAAATTTCAAATCAAGATGTTGCCAAGCATACCATAATCCTGCGTCCAAACGAAGGTGGACATTGGGCACACATCCAACTCGCGCCAAATAAAAGCAGCAGCAGCCGCCTCCTGATAATCACAACAGAAACAACACTCCGTGAGAGAACAGAACAAGCTGTAGCATTATCTACATTTCCACGAGACTTACGCTAGAGAAAAATGGAGAACAAAAATGCTATCACCCTTACTGAACAGAAACCGGAAGAATCTAAATGCAATGAGGATTCAGTTCTCCCCATCGTTGAGAAGGGACTTTTCTTCCATGATTCCTTCTTCGAGGATATTCGGAAGCAATTTGAGACAGCCATCGACGAAATCCTGGATACGTGGGGAGAAGGCAAATCCGTTAGTGATCTGATGAGTAGCTACAGACGTGTAAGAGAGCGCAATTTGCAGGAAGAGAACCAAGTCATGGCCTTCAGCGAAGACGACCAGAATCACAAGGTTAGTTTTACGATCTAAAAATCATGTGGATCGCAAATATTAATATACACAAAAGAAAGAAGAAATCGTTAAAACACTTTTTTTTTTTTCCAGAAATGATGTAGGTCACGGAAAGAGATTATTCATATATAAGGAAAACATAAGAAAAATAGATAGTCTTAATTGATTCTATATACAGGTTGTACTGGATGTTCATGACTTCAAGAGTGGAGATGTTAAGGTTAGAGTGGAAGACAATCAGGTGGTGGTGGAAGGTCGAGTGGAAAAGGAAGAAGATGACTTCAAGTCCATGAAAAGCTTCTATCGACGTTTCAGCTTCCCAGGCAAAGTGAACATGGAGGCCGTGACTTCCGCAATGTCTTCCGATGGCGTCTTGACTGTCACGGCTCCGAAGATTCCACAGGCAGCATAGCAAATAGTCCATTATCTGAAATTGTAATCTAATCTTAAATGTACGTTTAAGTAACAATATATTTTTCTTTAGGATAATGTTAAAGTGAATAAAGCTTTTGCTAATTTTAAAATAAATTATACTTGTTTACATGTGTCTATGATTTTATTTACCTTCCTTTTTCGCGAAAGGATAAAGAAAGAAAAAGAAAATCGACTGTCGCATAAATTGCATAACAGAGGGTTCTTCGAAAGTCATGAAGAAAAAGCGCAAGTGCCAAATGCAAAGAGGATTCAATATTTGTGACCAGTGCTTCCATGATTCTTTTTCGAAACACTAGTAAAAACTAATATTGGTCTAGCGAGCGCTTTATGTACAACATAAGACATAACCCTGATTAACCCTTTTAGGATACATGTACATTTAAAAGCATTACAGGTTAGTTGTTAGGATGACATGAACAAATAAATCAATGGATAGTTTTTGTCACTTACCCATGCAGGAAATACTTGACATGTATAAGGAAATATATGTATGTTACAATTACATACATTATATACATATACACAAATGTATATACATATTGTCTTTTCACACAGTTATACATATACGTAGATACACATACACATATATACATATGTAGATATAATACATACATATATATATACATATGAATAAAAAAATAAATAAATGTGTATATATATATTTATATGTGCGCGCGCGCGTGTGTGTTTGTACTTATACTTATCTGTACACATGTATATTATAGTGTGTGTGTGTGTGTGTGTTTGTGTGTATTTATACATAGGATGGCCATATAGATGATTCCACAGGCAGCATAAGAAAACATTTAATTAGCTGAAATTATAATCAAATCTTAAAAACAATGAATGCTAAAATGATTGTTTTTTTTCGTTTTTTTTTTTTTTTTTTTTTTTTTTAGATAATATGAAGAAAAAAAATCGTTTGCTTTTCTTTTCCGATTGTTATTGTTGCATGGCTTTCATTATAGATAGTCCCTTGAAACTTTCAGAAAAAGTACTAAATGCAAAGAGGGTTCACTTCTTCCTATTGCTGTGACCTGTGATTCTATCATTATTTTTCAATAGTAATTAAAATGGAACAATCGTCTCCCAAGTGCTTTGTGCAAGAAGAAACTTACATCCCTCTGAGTGACCCTTCAAGAAACAAGTAACGTATTAAAGGGTTAGTTGTCAGTTTTATATGAGCAATTAATGAAATCAGTTTTTTTTTTTTTTTAATATTTCCGAGGCAAAGTGTACATGGAAGCTATTAATTTACACACAAAGTATGTTTGTGCATGTGTGCGTATTATATATCTCTATATATACACACATGGATGTAATAAATCATTGTATCGTATGGATTCATTTTAAATTGAGAGCTAGAAGTTTCAAGAAGTTTCATACGAAGTTTTTGCCAAGTATTCCCTGACGCGTCCAGATGGAGGTGGAAAGTGGGCTCACACCCAACTCGCGCCACATAAAAGCATCAGCAGCCGCCTCTTGCTAGACACAATATAAACAACACTCTTTGAGAGAACAGAGCAAGCTGTAGCTTCATCTACATTTCCAAAAGAAATATGGAGAACAAAAATACTAGTACTCTTAATGAACAGAAACCAGAATCTCCCAAAGAGGATTCACTTCTCCCAATCGTTGAGAAGGGACTTTTCTTCCATGATTCTTTCTTCGAGGATATTCAGAAGCATTTTGAGACAGCCATCGACCAAATCCTGGACACGTGGGGAGAAGGCAAATCCGTGAGTGATCTGATGAGTAGCTACAGACGTGTAAGAGAGCGCAATTTGCAACAAGAGAACCAAGTCATAGCCTTCAGCGAAGATGACCAGAATCACAAGGTTAGTTTTTCCATCTAAAAATCATGTGGATCGGAAATATTCATATACATAACAGAAAGAAAAAATCGTTAAAAAACTGTAAAATTGAAGATATTCTTTTTCAGAAATGATCTAGGTCACGGAAACAGATTATCTAGATACAAGAAAACAGATTTAGATATTCATTAAAATGAAAAAGAAAAAGGAAACCTGGGAAATCAAATACTCTTCATTGATTCTATATACAGGTTGTGCTGGATGTTCATGACTTCAGGAGTGGGGACATTAAGGTTAGAGTGGAAGACAATCAGGTGGTGGTGGAAGGTAGAGTGGAAAAGGAAGAAGACGACTTCAAGTCCATGAAAAGCTTCTATCGACGTTTCAGCTTCCCAGGCAAAGTGAACATGGAGGCCGTGACTTCCGCAATGTCTTCCGATGGCGTCTTGACTGTCACGGCTCCGAAGATACCACAGGCAGCATAAGAAATCATATTCCATTATCTGAAATTGTAATCTAATTTTAAATGTACGTTTAAGTAACAATTTATTTTTCTTTAGGATAATGTAAAAATGAATAAAGCTTTTGCTGTTTTTAAAATAAGTTATACTTGTTTACATGTGTGTATGACTTTACTTCCCTTCCTTTTTCGCGAACTTATCGAAAGAAAAAAAATCGACTGTCACATAAATTGCATAACAAAGGGTTCTTCGAAACTCTTGAAGAAAAGGTGCAGGTACCAAATGGAAAGAGGTTTCACTACTCGTGACCTGTGTTTCCATTTTTTTTTCGAAAAACTAATAAAAACTAATATTGGTCTAGCGAGCGCTTTACGTACATAAGACACAACCCTGATTAACTCTTTTAGGAGACATGTACGTGTGTGCGTGTGTGTTTGTATTTATTCTTATCTGTAGACATTGGTCTAGCGAGTGCTTTATGTACAACATAAGACAACCCTGATTGATCCTTTTAGGATACATGTACGTTTAAAAGTATTACAGGTTAGTTGTTAGGATCACATGAAAAATAAATCAGTGGATAGTTTTAGCCAATTGGCCATGCAGGAAATACATGACATGTATAAGGAAATATATGTATGTCATTTATATATATATTATATATAGATACACAAATATATATACATATAATCTTTTCACACAGTTATATTTATGCACACACACACACTTTCATATATGTATGTTATAATTACATATATTATATACATATACACAAATGTATATACATATTGTGTTTTCACGCATTACACACGTAGGTACACACACACATATATACATATATACACATACATATATATACACATATGTATATATAGTACATACATATATACATATATATAAAGAAACAAATAATTTAATGTATATATATTTATATGTGCGCGCGCATGTGTTATAGTGTGTGTGTGTCTATACATAGGATGGTCATATAGATGATTCCACAAGCAGCATAAGAAAACATTTCATTAATGAAATTATAATTAAATCTTAAAAACAATTAATGCTATTTTTTTTTTTTTTTTTTTTTAGATAATATGAAGAAAAAAAAAATCGGTTGCCTTCCTTTTCCGATTGTTATTGTTGCATGGCTTTCATTATAGATGGTCCCTTGAAACTTTCAGAAAAAGTACTAAATGCAAAGAGGGTTCACTTCTTCCTATTGCTGTGGCCTGTGATTCTATTATTTTTTCAATGATATGAATTAAAATGGAGCAATCGTCTACTAAGCGCTTTGTGCAAGAGGAAACTTAATCCCTCTGAGTGAGCCTTTAAGAAATAACAATTAATAACGCATTAAAGGGTTAGTTGTTAGGTTTTTATGGGCAATTGATGAAATTACTGTTTTTTGTATATTTCAAAGGCAAAGTGTACATGGAAGCTATTAATGTACACAAACACACACATACGCAAAGTATGCTTGTACATGTGTGTGCGTATTTCTATATATATATATACACACATGTATGTGTGTTTGTGTGTATATATATACTTTTTTGTGTCTATATATAAATGAGGTCCCTTTAGATGATGGAATATTTCAATAAAAAACGCATAGTTAGTAATAAAACTTTTACCATATGATTGTATCGTATACATTCATTGTAAATTAAGAGCTAGAAGTTTCAAGAAGTTTCATATGAAGTTATTGCCAAATATCCAGTGACGCGTCCAGATGGAGGCGGAAAGTGGGCGCACACCCAACTTGCGCCACATAAAAGCATCAGCAGTCGCCTCATGCTAGACACAATATAAACACTTTGAACTGAGCAAGCTGTAGCTTTATCTACATTTCCAAGAGAAATATGGAGAACAAAAATACTAGCACTCGTATTGAACAGAAACCAGAATCTCCCAAAGAGGATTCACTTCTCCCCATCGTTGAGAAAGGACTTTTCCTCCATGATTCTTTCTTCGAGGATATTCAGAAGCACTTTGAGACAGCCATTGACCAAATCCTGGATACGTGGGGAGAAGCCAGGTCCGTGAGTGATCTGATGAGTAGCTACAGACGTGTAAAAGAGCGTAATTTGCAGCAAGAGAACCAAGTCATGGCTTTCAGCGAAGACGGCCAGAATCACAAGGTTAGCTTAAGTATCTAAAAACAATGGGGATCTCAAAAACACCAATTCTAACAATCTTATGCATGAATAGAAGAAAAAATCGTAAAAAAGAAAAAAGAAAAAGAAAATCAAATTGAAGGTAAGGATTTTTTTTTTTCACGCAAACAGATTATTTAAATATTCATTAAATGAAAAAGAAAAAGAAAAATAAGGGAAAACAAATACTCTTCATTAATTCTATATACAGGTTGTGCTAGATGTTCATGACTTCAAAAGTGGAGACGTTAAGGTTAGAGTGGAAGACAATCAGGTGGTGGTGGAAGGTCGAGTGGAAAAGGAAGAGGACGACTTCAAGTCTATGAAAAGCTTCTGTCGACGCTTCAACTTCCCAGGCAAAGTAGCTATGGAGGGCGTGACTTCGGCAATGTCTTCCGATGGCGTCTTGACTGTCACGGCTCCGAAGATTCCACAGGCAGCATAGAAAAATATTTGATAAGCTAAAATTACGATATAAGTTAAAATATAATAAATGTTTAACTATTTATTGTTGATTTGAAGACTGTAGAAATTAAGTTCATTTTTTTATGTATTCTTTTTAATAAATCGTATTTGTTTACATTTGTGTATTACTTTGCTCATTTCCTTGAAAATAATCGAAAAAAAACAAACAAACCGGTAGCTAACTGTTGCATAAATTTCATAACTTATGAAACTCATGAAGAAAAATCGCGTTCCAAATTCAAAGAGGGTTCACTTCAAACTACTGTAACCTGTGCCTCCATGGTTAATGGTTTAAACCAGGGATCGGCAACCTTTGGCTCCCGAGCCAGACTTGGCACGCAGAGGGCTTCCTATGGCACACCACGTGATTCGAAGGAGCAAAGAAACAAAGTTAAACAAAATAAGAGGGAGAAAGGGAGAATGTGTATCGCATTTCGTTACTCTGATCAAGGTTTGAATTTTCGTATGTTTTTTTTTTTTTTCTTCTATGATACACTGAATTAAAACGAAAATATTTCGTAGCCGCGATATGGTTTAAGGGTACAATGAGATGTAGATGAGTATGAAGCATACCCAAGCGCTTGGGAAGCCTCAGTCAAACAACGCTGCTGTTTCAGCGACTAGCCACCGTGAGTGACACTAGTTATTTTCGTAAGAGATACTGCGAAAAAGTAAAGCTTGATATCCGATGATTTCAGTTACCATGGACAAATAATTTTGGATTTATTCATTAGAGTAGTACTGTGTGTGTGCACGCTGCTACATGACACACACTTGAAATTATATATATGTATATATGTTATGTTATGATTATATATGTTATATTCAAAGTATATGTATATATACATATCTATATTTTTAGTGTTACATATACATACATGCATATAAATATAGATTTATAATATAGATATACTGCATATTTCATATACATATGAATCTATGTTTTTTCCTCGAAAAAACATAGATTGTGACACAAAAATTATATATACATACACAAATATATATATATATATACACATATGCATATACATATATATACACACGTATTGATATACATATATATACACATGCATGCATACATATTTCGTAAATTACCCAGGCAAAGTGTACATGTTAGCTGTTAATTTTGTAGGTAATACTTGAAACAAAAAATAAAAACATATTACATATATACACAAATAGTAAATATATTTATCTATATATGTATACGTACATATATATATGTGTGTGTGTGTAAGGATAATATAAATGTTCGTGCATCTGCATATATGTCTGTATATATGTATGTATCTATACATATGTGGATATATGTATTCATATAGAAGTGTGCGTAAATATATATATATACACATATGTATGTATGTGTATATATGTATTCTGTATATAAATGATGATGTAGTATTGGAATATGTATAAGGACGCATAATTAGCATTGAAGCATTTACCGCATGGTTGCATCGTATGCATTCACCTTAATTACTTTGTTAAAATCTGGAAATTTCAAGAAATTTCAAATCAAGATGTTGCCAAGCATACCATAATCCTGCGTCCAAACGAAGGTGGACATTGGGCACACATCCAACTCGCGCCAAATAAAAGCAGCAGCAGCCGCCATCTGATAGACACAACAGAAACAACACTCCGAGAGAGAACAGAGCAAGCTATAGCTTAATCTACATTTCCACGAGACTTACGCTAGAGAAAAATGGAAAACAAAAATGCTACCACCCTTACTGAACAGAAACAGGAAGAATCTAAATGCAATGAGGATTCACATCTACCCATCGTTGAGAAGGGACTTTTCTTCCATGATTCCTTCTTCGAGGATATTCGGAAGCACTTTGAGGCAGCCATCGACCAAATCCTTGATACGTGGGGAGAAGGCAAATCCGTGAGTGATCTGATGAGTAGCTACAGATGTGTAAGAGAGCGCAATTTGCAACAAGAGAACCAAGTCATGGCCTTCAGCGAAGACGACCAGAACCACAAGGTTAGTTTTACCATCTAAAAATCATGTGGATCGCAAATATTCATATACATAAAAGGAAGAAGAAATCGTTAAAAAAACTGAAAAATAGAAAATATTCTTTTTCAGAAATGATCTAGATTATCTAGATACAAGAGAAACACAAACAGATTTAGATATTCATTAATATGAAAAAGAAAAAGAATACCAGGGAAATCAAATACTCTTCATTGATTCTATATACAGGTTGTGCTGGATGTTCATGACTTCAAGAGTGGAGACGTTAAGGTTAGAGTGGAAGAGAATCAGGTAGTGGTGGAAGGTCAAGTGGAAAAGGAAGAGGACGACTTCAAGTTCATGAAAAGCTTCTGTCGACGTTTCAACTTCCCAGGCAAAGTGAACATGGAGGGCGTGACTTCCGCAACGTCTTCCGATGGCGTCTTAACTGTCACGGCTCCGAAGATTTCACAGGCAGCACAGGAAATCATATTCCATTATCTGAAATTGTAATCTAATTTTAAATGGACGCTTAAGTAATAATATATTTTTCTTTAGGATAATGTTAAAATGAATAAAGCTTTTGCTATTTTTAAAATAAATTATAATTGTTTACATGTGTGTATGACTTTACTTGCCTTCCTTTTTCGCGAATTTATCAAAGAAAAAAAAAAAAAAATCGTCTGTCGCATAAATTGCAAAACAGAGGGTTCATCGAAACTCTCGAAGAAAAGGTGCAAGTGCAAAGAGGGTTCACTATTTGTGACCTGTGCTTTCATGATTCTTTTTCGAAAAACTATTAAAAACTAATATTGGTCTATCGAGCGCTTCATGTACAACATAAGACATAACCTTGAATAACCCTTTTAGTAGGCATGTACGTTTAAAAGCATTACAGGTTAGTTGTTAGGATCACATAAGAAATGTGTTCGGTAGTATCCATTTTCACATTATTTTTGTTCTCCATTTTGCTCCTAGCGTTTGTCAATCATATGAAGTGGGATCCTATGTAAATGTAAATAATGCTGCAGGTTGCTCTCTTTCTCAAGGACACGTGTATCCGTCCCTTAGCAGGAACTGGCTGTTGACTCTGGTATGTAGCGTGTGTTGAATGCGTGCCCACTTTCTGTTTACATTTGGATAAACGTTTGTGGTATGTTTGACATCTGTTACGAAATCTCTCGAAAGTTCTCGTTTAGGTTTAAGTGATGTTATTGTTGATGCCATTGACGAAGTAAAAATGCAAGGTGAATTAATCGACACTGGTTATGTGTATTGCTATAAATGCAGGATCATCACACATTCATGCAGCATTTCCTTATCTAGCATGAATTCTTTAGTTGTAAGTTTTGAAAACCACTCGGAAGCACTTTGAGACAGCCATCAACCAAATCCTGGATACGTGGGGAGAAGCCAAATCCGTGAGTGATCTCATGAGTAGCTTCACACGTGTAAGAGAGCGTAATTTGCAGCAGGAGAACCAAGTCATGGCCTTCAGCGAAGACGATCAGAATCACAAGGTTAGTTAGATTAAATTATTGTAATTTGCGTTAGTATTACTCCTCAAGAATAATCCGGATCATGCAGACGGCTTATTAAGACAAATATAAAATTCTAAATGAAAAGGAACGTACTAGAAAAAAAATATCATGAATTAATTCTATATACAGGTTGTACTGGATGTTCATGACTTCAAGAGTGGAGACATGAAGGTCAGAGTAGAAGACAATCAGGTGGTGGTGGAAGGTCGAGTGGAAAAGGAAGAGGGCGACTTCAAGTCCATGAAAAGCTTCTGGCGACGTTTCAACTTCCCAGGCAAAGTGGCTATGGAGGCCGTGACTTCCGCAGTGTCTTCCGATGGCATCTTGACTATCACGGCTCCTAAGGTCACAGAGAAATCTTAAACAAGAACATATTTTTGTAAATGTATTTAGTTGTAAGGACTGTAATCTGTGAGCTAAGTATGCTTAATTTTGGATACTGTGAGACTGAATCAATAAAGTGAATAAAGTTATGCAAATGCATTCGTTTACGTATCATCCTTATACACAGCATGACAGCACGAGTGTATAAATGCCTAGAACTGATAGGTTAATAAATAAATGTGAAAGATAACCGACTCTTATATATTTCACACACATATATATGCATATATATATATATATAAAGAGGAATATAATTTATTAGTTAATATCTTTCTAGTTGCTCTGCAACTCTTCACGTGCTGCCTCTAGATATGTCCGTTTTCCGCATTTTATTTATCTAAAGGCAACTGGGCAAAGAATCAGGTCTTTTTTGAAACACTAAACTCCCCCACCAAAATAATGATAATAGTAATGATAATAATAATGATAAATTAAAGATAGATAATGAAAAACAAAACAAAAAATATAAAATCTAAAAAATGAATAAAAAATACAAACTATATATATAATATATATACATATATATATCATAATTATCAAATAGTTGTAGAGAGGTTTCGACTAGTGGGGCACGGCAGCGCTGGATTGGTACCACGCTCATGGATTGGTTCCACGCTCTTTGTAATACTGAAATGTCTGAAAGTGGCTGGCATTATTCTGAGATCAATCTCTTGGAATTTTCCATATGGAATTTTTAGCGGAAATTGAAATATAGTTAATCGCCCTGATGGACTTATAGAAATAAACCACTTCTGGAATGTGTCATGTCTAAATGTTAATGATTAATCATACGTAACAAATAGGCAAATGATGCTGTAAAATTATATATGAATACATGTGATCATCAAACCTTATTCATTCTCCAGTGTTGGTTTTCTTCATATCCGCTAATGACTTTTAGCTGTTGGCGTGACAGATAATTTTAGATCAATCAATCAATCAAAAAATATGAAAAGGGAATCATTCAATATACATGCTTGATTAATAGCACCATACTACTAACCGTTTAACATAATATTGACCAAAGGAAAGAAATTTCAGGGATCCGTAAAATGCTTTCCTAATTTCAGAGCCAGACGCAGTCGGCCAGAAGCAATGTCCTCTTCGTAAACATTCTATGTATTTGTAAACAGTTCTTGTGTGTGTACTGTGCATGTGTGTGTATACTGTGTATGTGTATGTGTGCACTGTGTATGTGTGTGCATGTATACTATGTATGTGTGTGTGTGCATAGATATGTATGTATATATGCGCGCGCGCGCGTGTGTGTACGTGTATGTATATGTGTGTGTGCGTGTGTGTGTGTGCAATGTCTTTATACATGTGCACAATTTATATATGTGTGTATTTATACATTATTATATAACTGTGTGTTCATAAACAGAAGAGATCCAGAAGGTTCAAGAGAGTTCCTATAAATACTGCCAAGCATGCGAAGACCGTTTATACAAACGTAGCCAGATAGTGGGCAGACACCCATTTTACGTCACATAACAGACAGCAGGCAGCAACTCATAGGTATAACGGAAAAGTACACCTTAGGGAGATAAAAGAAGGTAGAGCAATATCTAAAATATTGTTACTTCTTGTCGTTTCGAAGTGAAAATCTCGACGAGCAAAATGGAGAAGCTTGAGAAGTTTGCAAATGCACTGAGGAATCACTTCTTCCATGATTCTTCCTTTGAAGATATTCGAAAGCAGTTTGAGACAGCTATTGAAGAAATCCTTGATCTGTGGGGAGAAACCAAGTCCATGAATGATCTCATGAGTAACTTTACTCGTGTCAGAATGGAAGACAGGTGGTGGTGGAAGGTCGAGTGGAAAAGGAAAAGGGGGACTTCATGTCCATGAAAAGCTTCTGTCGACGTTTCAAGTTCCTGGGCAAAGTGGATAATAAGTCACTTCCGGAATGTCTTCCGATTTTGAAGGAATCAGAGTAAGTGATGAAGACCAAGGAGTTGCGGAAGTGAATCTTTGATTGATAAAGCTTTTGTGCGTTAGCTTTTAGTTACTATAATATATTTGTACTTTTTCAAATAAATGTTCGTTTATGTTTTTTCGATTACCTTTCGCTCCACGTCATTTGTCTGGTAATTCCAATCTCTGACTATATGAATCTCTGATGAAGTAGTACTGCATATACACGCATACACAATTCTATCTGTATGTGAATATCACAGAAGCATTCATTATTGCATTTCACGGTGTGGGACAGTTCTGCGTCTCTCTGCACATGTCATGCATACGCTCATACATGATATTCAAAGATATTCACACGTGTAAGAATGCGTGTAAAAAAAGTTATAGTCAGAGATTAATTTTTATACATTTTCATGTCGCAGCTGGAAAATGTGCCTAATATGGCGGGAAACGAAAGGTAATCGGAAAACAAAACTTATAAACGAACTTTTATTTGAGGAAGAACAGACATTCTATAGTATCAAAAATTATAAATAACAGCATCATAGATTTTCTTCCGCTAACTCCTCGGTATCTGTCACTCATCCCTTCGAAATTTTCGGTGCCGTGATAGCTAAGACGCCATCGGGACACATTGCAGAAGTCTCCATGCCCACTTTACTTTACATTGAAGTCAATGTAAAGTTTTTGTCATGTATTTAATTAATTAGAATTTATGGGTATCATGGAAATGGAATGCGGAGTATCCCAGTAAGATTTGCGCGTTACTAATGGATTATGTACTAACCTTATGATTCTGGTCGTTCTTCACTGAATACCATGACATGGTTCTCTTGCTGTAAATTGTGCTTTCTGTGATATCCCTCAGTTTGCTAAAATAAATGTGTTATATAAGTAGAAAAAGATACACGCATCATGTGCAAGCAGAGACTACATAAGCAAAGGCAGCTGGGGAAAGAACCAGTTCTATTTCGAAACATTGAACAGATCAGCGGGCAAAATTTACAAGCTGATTGTTAAAAAATACTGATACATTATATAAGTGAAATTCTGTCACCTAATCTTTCTCTCTCTCTCACACACATACATACATATATATATATATACACACACACATGTATTTATATATATATATATATATATATATAAATTTATGTGTATATATGTATGTGTATATAAATAACAAAAAAATGTATATACACAAACGTGCATATGTGTATGTATATATGTATATATATATAACTGTTTAGTGTTTCAAAAACAGACCTGGTTCTTTGCCCAGTTGCGTTTAGATAAATACAAAGCAGAGAGCAGACGTATATAGAGGTAGTACGTGAAGAGTTGCAGAGCAGCTAGAAAGGTATTAACTTATAAATGATTTTCTTCTTTATATATATATGTGTTTGTGAAATATATAAGTGTAGGTTATCTTTCATTTATTTATCATCCTATATATTTATCAGTTCTAGGCACTTATACACTCGTGCAACATTTAAAATTGCTGCCATTCTGTGTATAAGGAAGATGATACGTAAACGAATGCATTTGCATAACCTTATTCACTTTATTGATTCAGTCTCACAGTATCCAAAATTAAGCATACTTAGCTTACAGATTACAGTTCTTACAACTAAACACATTTACAAAATATATGTTCCTGTTTAAGATTCCTCTGTGACCTTAGGAGCCGTGATAGTCAAGACGCCATCAGAAGACATTGCTGAAGTCACGGCCTCCATGTTCACTTTGCCTGGGAAGTTGAAACGTCGACAGAAGCTTTTCATGGACTTGAAGTCGCCCTCTTCCTTTTCCACTCGACCTTCCACCACCACCTGATTGTCTTCTACTCTGACCTTCATGTCTCCACTCTTGAAGTCATGGACATCCAGTACAACCTGTATATAGAATCAATTTATGATAATTTTTTCTAGTACGTTCCCTTTCATTTAAAATTTTATATTTGTTTTAATAAGCCGTCTGCGTGATCCAGATTATTCTTAAAGAGTAATACTAACGCAAATTACAATAATTTAATCATCTAACCTTATGATTCTGGTCGTCTTCGCTGAAAGCCATGACTTGGTTCTCCTGCTGCAAATTACGCTCTCTTACACTTGTGAAGCTACTCATGATATCACTCACGGATTTGGCTTCTCCCCACGTATCCAGGATTTGGTCGATGGCTGTCTCAAAGTGCTTCCGAATATCCTCGAAGAAGGAATCATGGAAGAAAAGCCCCTTCTCAGCGATGGGGAGAACTGAATTCTCTTTGCAGTTAGGAGCTTCAAGAGAGGCAGTATTTTGATTCTCCATCTTGGACATATTGATTTTCAGAGAAGTATTGCTAGAGGCAGTACTGTAGATAGGAAACTGCAGTCTGTTTACAGAAATATTTGTGTTTCCGTTGTGACTAGCGAGAGGCAGGTGCCGATACTTTTATGTGGCGGGAGTTGGGTGAGCGCCCACTTTCCGTCTGCATTTGGACACGCGAGTCGGGCGTACTTGGGAACAATCTTCATAATCTTGAACATTCTAGTTTCCGACTATCGCTCTTGTAAGTATATTTCCACCAAATCTGAACATTTCTATTCTATTTTACCTAAATATATTTATTTATTTGTTTTACTTATGTATATGTATATAATCCAGTCAAGTCAAATATCTGATAAATATAGACAAACCAAATCTATCTTTAACCTAAATACCAATGTTTTACAAGACGATGGTGTGAATGTTTGTACCTCATCCTGTTTCAAAGATATCACCAATAATGAAAAATAAGAAAATAAGATGTCATATAGAGAGAGAGATTGTGGAAGAAAGTCACAGCAGTCGGAAGAATTTGGCAACTACATCGTTAGTCTTTACGCCATATTCGTAAGTATATTCCCTTGTCTAAGAACTTTGGATAACCACCTGGTATCGAATCTATACGACGATGATCCTGTTACCATCCACTTTGTACTAAATGGTTTTCAAAACTTGCAACTAAAGATTTCATACTAGATAAGGAAATGGTACGGACAACACGTAAGTGGCAAGACTACTTAACTAAAGGT